GAGAAGAAAAGAGGAGACATAAAAGGCAAATCTCAGCATGCTCATGTGCACGGGAAATCGAGGCCCATGCGTCTCGCGACTCTTTGCCAGTCCCAGACCGCCACCCAGTCGCCCTGCTCCATGAGCGCCCACACCTCCTCGAGCAGCTCCAGGACCCGGTCGCAGTTCTTGAGGCCGGTGTATCCTCGCACGGCCCGGACGGCCGCGCGGATGCGGTACCGCTGGTCGGGCTCGAAGCACGCCGTGCCGATGACCAGACACGGGATCAGGAGGAGCGTCTGCGAGGGGTCGGAGGGCTTGAAAGACTCGAGGAGGCTCAGCGATTCGTCGACGGCGAGGGTGATGCGCTTGTCGTCTTGGGCAGGTCGACGGGCGGGTGGTGGAGATGAAGGTCGTTGTGTTTGTGATTCGGAGGCAGAGGCAGAGGCGGAAGCGGTGTCTGTGTGTTGTTGTTGTTGTTGTAGGTCGCCTTCGTGCATGGAGTTAGTCCTCGAGGGTTGGCGCGTGGACGGGCAGCTGTGCGTCGTCTTGGACCGGGAAAAGGGGTTGCGCGCCCCCATGAGCGGAGAGCCGGCCGTGGTGCCAATGGCGGCGGCCATCGAGGCTCGGCGAGGGTGAGGGTTCGTCGGCATCGAGGAGAACATGGCCGTGGGTAGCGAGCCAATGGTGCTGCGGCGGCCGGGCAGGGCCGAGGGCGGGTAGATGGTGCGGAACAGGTAGACCCAGAGCATCTGCTTGTAGAGCAGGCCGACGCGGTCGCGGCTGTCGCCCGAGGGCCAGCGCGGCGTCCACTCGCGGATGGCGGCGTCGATCTCGGCGGCCTTGTAGAGGCTGGTGTAGTCCACCAGGGGGTCGACGGCGCCGGCCATGTTGACGCGGATGGCGTTGCGGATGCTGGTGATCTCGGACAGGTGGCGGAACAGGCCGTCGGCGACGCCCAGCAGGCGAGGGGGGTGGATGGGCGCCGACGGCTCCCAGTCCTCGGACGCGAGGCGCTCCGTCCGCTTCTCGGGGAACCAGAAGAGGTCGTCGGCGTAGATGTGGTACTGGAAGAACTCGGTGATGAAGGTGAGGAAGCTGGAGTCCTCGGGCGGCGAGTGCTGCACCAGGTGCTTGTACGCCTGCAGATGGACCCGGTGGTCACCGCGCGGGTTGCCCTCCGCGCGCGTCTGCAGCAGGAGGCACATCATCTGGCCGTACCGCGCGGCGAGGACCGTCTTGTACTCGGGGTCGCTCTTGTCCATCTCCTGGTTCATCTCGGCGTACATGCGCTTCATGCCCTCGTCGTGGTGGTACTCGGAGCGCTGCTGCAGCGCCTCCTTGCTCGTGGATGGGTTGCTCTGCAGGATCTTGAGGCCGTAGGGCGTGTCCCAGTCGATGTGCTTGCTGCTGGCGGCGAGGATCGAGTGCATCAGGCCCTGATGCCGGTTGGCGAGCTGCAGGATGATGTCCTTGAAGGCGTTTCGGGCCTCGCCCTCGACGGTCAGCACGTTGCTGAAGTGGTTGACGTAGTGCTTCCAGAAGATCTTGT